CGAGGGGAGCCTGGCTCTCATCGTGGCCTCAGCAGCCTGTCTCTGGCAGCTCAGCCCATGCCAAGCCTTCCTCAGGCTTAGGAGGACCAGGGTTGCTCTGTCCTTTAAGAAGGTGAAATAATTGCTGACTGAGAGCAGAGGCCCCTCCTCCAGCCCCAGGCTCCCCTCCGTGCCCGTGCTTGGCACAGCTTTTATCTGGGTGTTTCCACGGCGGGAGCAGAAACCTGCCCTGCCAGTTTGTACAGTGCCTGGTGCATCAGGTCCTGCCTCGTCCACTTGTCGCAGCTGGTGCCCACTCGCACATGGCTGCTGCTGGGTCAGTAACCATGACAGCTGGACCTGTGCCACTGCCACAAGCCTGGCCTAGCTCCTGGGTGTCTCCGTGGCAACCAGGTTGGGCAACATCTCCTTCCTCCCTGCGTGCTAACATAGCCCAGAATGCACTGCACCACGGGTGCTACTGGGTGCCCTGCTCTGGGTGCTGAACCCCCTGCTGAGGCACCATGGCATTGCTGCTGGAGTCTCCCACAATGCCCTGGGACAAACATAGACTGATAGCATGGGCAGGGCAGACGCACAAGGCAGCAATGTGGACGCAACCCAAGGCCTGGGGGCAAATCTCGGCTGCACCTAGGCTGGAGTCACAGGCACAGACATGGAAACCAGTGCGAGCCCGATCCTCACAGCCACTCAGCTGTCTTGGCTTTAAGGAACCTTAAAGTCAGCATAAAGGGCCTCCTATGAATCTTCCTCTGTTAACAGCCCTGGAACGTGCCTGCTGCAACCACCCTGGGGCTGCCCAGACTGGCAGAGCAGGTCTGCCCTTAGCTCCAGAATAGGGAGAGCCCAGAGACAGTTTCAAGCTTCCTTATCTCGCACCTCCCACCATGGCTGCGGCTCAGGCCTGGGCAGGATTGCTGGTGCAGCACTAACCTCTGACCTGGGGCGTTCTTCACCCCTGCTCCCTGGGATACAGTTCAGCAGCCGGCGCAAACAGGGAGCCGGGCCCCAATTCAGCCACCCTAGACTCCAGCGAGATACAAGGCTTCATTTGCTACCGCACGACACTACCAGCTGGGGTGGTGGCTACACTCCACCTTTGCAGGACACCTGTCTGTCTGTCCGTCCAGGCATTTATACCCTAGGAGGCATGGCCCCTGGGATTATTCACATCCCCCCAGGCAGCCTAGGCTCCAGCCAGGTGCCTCGCAGATGCTGGTCTCCAGTGAAGGTCTCGCCATTCTGGCCACACTCCCTGGCTCTTGCCCTGCCTAACTCCTGACCTGCCTCCTCAGCACAACCTGCTTGCACTTCCTTGCCATAGGACACAGCTGCTGGCATCCAGCTGCCTCAGTGGTCCCTTCTGTGCAAGTGTCTGGCACATGGACCCAGAGGCAGGAGGCCCGAGACCTCCCCCTTTGCCAGAGCTGGGACAGGCTGGGCCGGAAGAGACACCTGTGGGGAAGAGTCCCGCCCGCAGCGCTCACGGCTCTCACCTGTGCCTGATAGATACTCCCAGGATCCCTTGGTCCTAATCCCACGAAGGAACGGTTCGCAGGGGGCGTGCCTGGTGCAGAGTAGGCTGGGGAAATAAACCAGAGAGCTCGTTAACTGGGCTGAGGGCAGACCCCCTGCTACGCTCATGAACCAGTGCAACCCCCTGAGGAGCAGCTCAGCATCACTCTCTCCACATGACAAGCAAGGCGCAGAGGCAAAGTGGCTTGGCCAAGGCCACAGAGTGACACTGCAGAACGAGAACCTGGCAGCTCCTGGCTTCCAGGCCCCTTGCGGCTACTCTGTGCGTCTCCTAAAGGGCATGGCCCAGTGCTGCTGGCTATGGTGGGATGGGGGCTGATGGCAGGGTCAGGGGAGCAGGCTGCAGCCCATTCACACAGCGGCTTCTCAAACACATTCGTTCAGCAAGAGTGAAAGGTGCTGTGTTGATGTCCTTGTGAGGCTGGAGTCCTGGTTACCCACAGAATCTGCCTGAGCAGCCCTGGGTTGAGACTGCAGTATGGGGGCTAAGATACACAGCTCTAGTCATATTCAGCACCGGGATGGAGTAACACACACAAGCCAGCTTATCACTATGCTTTCCCTCTCTAAGCAAGAAGCAGAGGGCTTCACAAGCATCCAGGTGACAGCCCTGGCCTGGGGCAGAGGAGCACTGACATCTCAGAGACTCAGGTAGAGAAACCAAGGGGTAAAGCAACCTGCCCACGGTCACATAACAAGGCAGTGGCAAGAACAGTACTAGCCCACAGGAAGCCTGGCTTCCAGCCCCCTGCTCTAGCCACTAGGACACACCGTTGCAGATAAGCCACTGCTGCTTTTTTTAATGCTATTCCCTGAAGCAGGGCAACATCGGTTGCTGCAGGGCATGCTGAGAGCTGTCACACCCAGAGTGCCCACGCTCCCATGTCTCCGGTCCCATCTTTGCTTGGGAGGGAGCCATTGCAGGGGCCTGTGTGAGGGCTTTGCTCCAAGCAACCACAGCCGTAGTCATTCCTGGCTGTGACCTGGGCACCAGGCTGACCGCATGTGGTGACCTCAGGCCAGTGAGCCAGAGCTTCAGGTCCGCTGTGCTGCTGCCTCAGGCGGGACCTGTGCTCACTAAGGGGGGCTCGCTGTCTCCCTCTCGTGGCTGGATCTGCTCCTGCTGCTGCTCCCTGAGTGCTGGCTCTTTGCCTCAGCTTGCCACCTTCTGGGCTACGGCTCTGGAGGAGCGTGTCCCACACTCCTCTTGACCCCTGCTCTCCTGTTCCCAGGGGCATGGAGCTAACCCAGCCTGCACAACACCCTCTCCTGACTGTCGTCCCACCACTCTCTAGCTCCCAGGATGCTCCTCTAACTTGGAACCAGCTCTCAGGTCCTGCTGCCCCCTGCTAACTATCCAACCGAGCAGGCTGCGTGCACAAGGAATTCATCCTTCAGCCTTGGAGGGGAGATGCTCCCAACAGGGCCCCCAGCCGCCTTTCAATCTTGCTGCCTCCCTGCTACGTGGACAGCTACTTCCTTCAGCTCATGCAAAGCGGCCCCGTTCCTAGTGGACAAGCCTTGATGGATTTCTTTTGATCCATCCATCTATTTACTATCCAGCAATATTTAAGTGCAGCAGTTACATTTTGCCAGCAGGTAAGGTATTCTCTTCACAGGGGCAGGGCCTGGCATGGACGAGCTGTTCCAACTCCACTCAGCTCTGCTGCTTTGCAGTTTAGTGTATGCTCACATGCAGGCAGCTCTGAGCCATGCCAGTGCCTTGCACCAATGTGCCATCCCCCCAGGTCAGGGGGCACAGTGCCCAGAGAGCCCAGCAGCAGCAGTGCCCAGAGAGCCCAGCCTCTGCAGTGTGGTTTGTGATGAGATGCTGATGTTGCACAGGGATTCCTGAGTGTGACATGCCCACCATGATTGTCCTGATGAGACAACTGGCAGCCAAGCAAAGCTGAGAAGATGCTCTCTGGACTGTGCTACCTAACAGTGGGCAGACGGAGCAGGATGGTGGCAGGTGGACTGGATGGCAAGGAAGCCATGGAGGTAGTAGTCCCTGTTTTGTCCAATCCTGAGTCCCCTACTTGGCTCTATTGCAAAGCCACATTGCATCACAGTTGCTGGTACCAAGGAAAGGGCTGGGGCACCACCAGTTACTGGTGGGTCTGTTCTCCAAAGCAGCCAAGAGCCTCACTAAGTCAATAGTGCCATTGCTGATGCTCAGCAACTCTAGGAAACAATGCCATCCAAATGCTTCTCCCAACTTCTGTGGGCATCAGGTCAGGCCTTCAGACTGACACGCTGCATGAGCTGCCCTGGAGATGATCACAGTTGGAACTAGGTTGCCAGCATTAGCAAAGCCCTTTGCTCACTCTTTAAATTTCTCTTTTCTTTAAAGCCCGAGGGTTTTGCAGCTTGCCCCATGGTGGTTTTTTCCATGCATCTCCTGAGAGCTCCATGGGACAGAAGCATGAGACTCTTAACACAGGACTCAGGAGTAACAATTCCCCTGCTGAAGAGACAGAGTCCAGCACGTGCTACCTATGCCAAATGCAGGCTGGCCTGTTGCATGCAAGGGAATCATGGTTCAGACTGGCTAGGCCATCCAAGGCACCATGCAGGCAGATGGGGTGAGCAAGCCAAAACCACCCTGCTCAAACACTTTCATCTTGAGCTCCCAATGCACCAAACAAACCTTACTGCCACCCCAGGCAGCATCCCACCTCCATTATTTTTCAAAGGGTGAAACTGAGGCACAGAGAGGTGACATAGTTTGTTCAAGACTGGTAGGAATCATGGGTGAGAGAAGGGAATACAACCCAGGAGTCCTGACTCTCCCCGACACCCTGTGTTTTACAGACCTACTAGTTTAGTGAGACATGCTTGGAGAAGGCTCTTGAGGGCACAGGGTCACTGGGTGGACTGGGAAGCAGCCCTGGGTGGGGGTTCTCAACAGCATCAGCTCAGATCCAATGCCCAGTAACTCTCCTGTGTGCATGTTAGAGCAGCTGCAGCAGAGACCAATATCCTATCAACCTGCTTGGGAAATCTCCCCCAGCAGTGCGCTGCCCTGACCTGACCCAGGGGCCAGGCCTTATGAGAACAAAGGCAGCCCAGCACCCACGGCTTCTCTGGGGAGAATGTCCCTGAGGACTAACCTGGGCTTGGGATGAAAAGACCTGCCCATTAAGAACTAACTGAGACCCAGCAAACTCATTCCACACAGGCTGTCAGGTGGCAACTGCTTTTGCTCATTAGTGGACAGGGGGTCCCTGTCTACGACATGGCGCCACACACCAGCCCCTGAGTCCCTCGCTCCCAGGCACAGCCTGCAGACTGCCCCCGCTGCTCAGAAGCACTTAAATGAAGCCAGGTTGCCAGCGAGATGGGAGAAGGGTAGCCAGAAGGCAGGGGGAGGCATGTATGATGGGAATGGCAGGGCGAGGCCTGACTGGACGGATGGCACCAGGACATGCCAGCAAGGGTTGGTGGCACCGCGGGCTGCTTACTGGGTGATGTCGGTGAGGTCGTCCCGCCCTCGGAAGTTGTCGTGGTGGATTTGGTGTCAGGAGAGATTGCCAACCGGGGCATGCCAGGGGGAGGTGGCGGCGCCAGCATCTGGGTGGAAATGTAGTGGCTGGGCACTTTCACTTGACCACTTCCATTTAACTGGGGACACAACACAGACAAAAAACAAACAGCAAGCCATTAGGAAGCAAGAGCAGCACAGAGCCCAGCTGGTGTGCCCTGCCCAGGGCTGCCAGTTCTAGCCTCCCCCCAGTGCTTCAGGGGAGGCACCGGCGGGAGGCAGGACAGGGGCTGCAGCAGCAGTAGGACAGAGGCAGGGAGAGGACAGCCCCCTTGTGCCCATAGGACTCTATGGGCATGGAGCCCTGAGTTGAATCCTGACTGACCCTCAGGGTCCCCAGGGCTGCTAGGAAGGAGGGGCTTCTGGCACCAGCTGATAGAAAAGAGCGGACACAAAGCCAGGGGGTGTCCTTAAAGTCAGGGACATCACAGAGGGTCCCAGGCCATGGTACATGCAGGCTTGCAGTCACTCAGAGGCCTGGCCCAGGCCAGCAGCCCAGCACCTGCCACCTCTGATACCCTACACTAGTACTAGGCCTCACCTTGAGGCGAGGCCCTGGCACACAGAGGAGAAGCAGAGGATCCTCTGGATAAAGCCAGCAACTGAGCCTCATGGCAAGAACCGGGCTCAGCTTCCACAATGCCTGGCTCACCAGTGGAACGAGTTTGTTGGGTCGCAGATCAGTCCCTAGTGGGTGTTGCTCTAGATCACAAAACAGCCACGCAATACCACAGGCTTAGCCACAAGCAGCAGGAACATGCAGCCGGGGCCGAGGGGACCAGAACGGCTCTGTTGACACCACTGGCTGGAGTAGCCGGAGGCTGCAGGCTGGGCCTGAGAGGCAGAGCAGGAGCAGGGAAGCCAGTACCATAGGAGCAGGGGCTGTGGGTCAGGAGCGAGGGGCACCAGTGGAACAATAGCAGTGCTGTCGGGGGCAGCCCTGCGCGGGGATAACAGGGGGTACACAACCAAATCAAGGGGCACCGGCAGAGCCCTGCGCTCACAGCCTCACCCTTTAAACTCACTATAACTAGCCAAATTCAGCTCAGCGTTCAACAGCAGCAGTACGGGCTGAATTCTGTAGTTGGGCCCTGGTGTGGGCAGCGTCTCTGCTGCAGGTAGCTGAGACAGCAGGGAGCTCTTTGAAGAGACCACCCATGGGGAAGGGGCACCCAGCTGGGTGGCGCACAGGCAGCTGGGAAGCAATTGCTGGTACATCAAAAACCTGGGGGTGAGGGGCCTGGTGAGGACGGAGGAGCCAGAGAAAGGCTTCAAAGGCTGTGGAGCCCACTCCTTCCCGTCTCCACCCACTGTGACTTTCAAAGGCTCCTTTGTAATCTCCCCTACCTGACACTGGCAGGGGGCTTCTGCCTTTCCTGCTGGAAATGCCTCCAGCCAGCCCTGCCTGCTGCCTGGGATCCTGGGTGCTGCTCCCTGTACTTCAAAGGGGGAGGACAGCAGCAGGCAGCACAGAGGAGATCTCCTTGTACTCTCCACAGAGCTGGGTTTCAAGGAAGGAGGGAGATGGGAGGATTTTAACCATGCCCCTCACTCTGGCCTCTGGCTTTCTGGTTCCTCTGCCTAGGAGTTTAAGGAAACCCAGTCCTGGTGCAGGAGGCTGCTGAACAGGGGTCTTGAATATCCTCTTAGCCTCCTATCCTTCTGGGGCCAAAATGAGTTGAGAGAGAAACCCCCAAAGGCTCCTGGGGTTGTTCCTGGTACACCATGAGAGTGATGTGCAAGCTCGGGGCATGGGGTCACGTCACTTGCTGGTGGCCACTGTGGGGATGATAACAACTTGCTACTGCTACCTGGTGGGAGAAGTGACTTCCTTCGCTCAACTAGTGGGTGCTGGGATATCCAGTGCAGGGAGTCTAGCCTTGGTTGCTAGCCCTAATGACAGCAGTTTTCTATCAGCGTCCCTATGGCTGTGGGGAACGAGGGTGGTGAAATGTCCCCGAGGAGGCCTGTTCCTTCTAAGAGGGCCAGTGGAGAAGCAGAAGTTTCTTGTTCACCACGGGAGAGGGGAGTCTCTCTGGGGAAGTCCCCTGCAGTGGGTGCAAACCTCAACTGTAGCCCCCAGAGAGGAACCAGGAAAGAGGCTGAATGAGGCAACATGCTTGAGCTGGGAAGAGAGAGGATGCCTCCTGGCAACAGAATAGATATGGGCTGGGAACAGGGGCATGGCTGGGGCGCAGCCAAAGTCCCATGCTGGGGAGGGGAGCCCAAGGGCAAGTGTGCAGAGATGAGCTGAAGGCTGGGGTCACTCATGGGCCATGCACGGGGCAGCTGGCCCACAGGAGATCCAGCACCCACTACTACAGACAGCAAAGGGAGTGCGCCGGTACTGGGGTGTGGGCAACGCGGGAGGTTGGGGGACGGCCGTGCCTGTCCCGCGTATTCGGAGCTGTCCAAGGTACTGCAAGGGGGTAGGGAAGGAGGGTCAGGCGAAGCCGAGAAGGGGGTTCATACTACAAGATGACACAGAAAGAACAGTCCCCTCCCTTTTGTCCCCTCCAAGGACGGACCACCACATAGGATGGACCGGGGGCTGCCCTTCAGCTCCAGGCATGGGGCGAGCGGGGCACAAATGTGTGCCCAGCCATTCCCGTGCTCCAGGGGTCAGGAAGAACCTGTGGTGGCCACCCAGGGCAGGGCAGTACAGCCGGGCAGGGTCACGCCTGGCACTTTCCTGGACTCTGAAGCAGTTCATGGCTGGTGGGATGGGCAATGAAATAAGGTCCACATGTCCTTCGCATTCACCAAGGATGGAGTTTAGGATTTCAGTAGCTCTTTACTCTGCAAGTCTGTCTGTCCATCTGTCTGCCCATCTGGCTTTTCAGCCTGCTCTGTGCCACTGGCACCATCAAATGTTATGCGCGAAAGCCATTCAAAGATTGACTTTCGCCTCCCCACTGGCTCAGGCCACTCATTCCCCGCCATGCGCTCAGTGTTTCATTTCCTGCTCTTCACCAGCAGGTTAGAGCTGTGCAGCTCCCTGGGCTTTGGGGAAGGTCTGAGTCCATGTTTTCCACCCCCTTTAGTCCTCCTTCAATGAATTTAACAGGAAGAAAAATTTTGAAGCTAATCAAGCCTGTGCTGCCAGGGATTGGCTTTCCTGGGCCATGGTCCCTGCTGTCCCAGGGGAAGAAGGGCACTTCCTGGGGAGGGGGGTCGGGACAGGGTTTTCCTACCCGCCCCCTTCGGCTAGGGAAAGAGTTAGGGTTCTTATCTCTTTGCAGCACGTGAGAGGATGTTCTCCCAGGGTGAGGTGTGTCCTCACGCAGGGGTCAGCACAAGCCTAAATGCCAGCCAAACTAGTGCTTGGAGTGGTCTGTGAAGGATGATGGGGTCTATCACCAGCCCCACATCTGTTGTCTGCCACATTCCCGCCAGGACAGGGGGCAGCGGGTCAGGCAGCACTGCTTGCCCTAGATGGTACAAAAAAAAGGTGCCTTCTGCAACTGTATTCAAGCCAGCCTGCTTGAAGCACTGAACAAAGCACCAGGCGAGCCCTTACACAGGGGCGTGCATGGTGTGCTAGATGTGTGCTAAGGAAGTCCTGCCCTGCAGGAGCCAGACAGACCACTCTATCTAACCTACTGGCCAGGTGCTCCTTCAGCCCCAACCCCGACTGCCTTGGGACTGGCTGTACCACAAAACAGGGATAATCAGGGGTGTGGAGGTGCCATTGAGTCCTTTGCTTTAGGTTGATCCTGGCTCATGACTTGCTTTCAGGGAGGGATATACCCAGCCAGTCTGGCAGGAGCCCAGCGGTATCGGCCCAGTCAGGACCTCTCCCCCACCCAGGCCCCAGGCGGGGAATGGTGGTGGTGGGAGGGAGAGAAAGGGACGATTCTCCAGCTCCTTACCGGTCCAGGCTGCTGATTGGACGGGTCGCAGGCCAAGGAGACGAGATCTTTCAGAGGGTCCTGCGGGTTGAGATGAGGCGGGTACCGTATGGCGGTGTGGGGGAAGTAGGTGGAGGCTGTCTGGGGGAGAATCGAGGTGGTGGGGAAATGCAGAGTAGATGAAGGGTGTGGGCTTCGAGCGATACCTGGAGGGGGAGAGAAACAAATAGGTGACCGGGCGGCCTTCACTCCAAGAACCAGGCCAGGCAGACACACCCAGCGCCCGCTCCTGCTCCCCAGCCCCACCCAAGGAGCACTCTGGGCTCATGGCAGCAGAAGAAAGGCCCCTGAGAAGGCCCCTGTTTTGGCAGCCCCTCGTGACCCAAGCTGCTTCACACCTATGTCTGTCACACAGCACATGGGCAGTGAGGTGGGGGAGTGGGATCCAGGCACAGGTCAGGGAGCCAGGGGCTCTCCCTCCCCCTGCCTCTGACACTGACTCCATGCTGTGGTCTTGGGCAAGTCACCAAACATCTTTCCGTGCCTCAGTTTCCCTTCTGTAAAGTGAGAACAAGGATCCTTACCTGCCTCTCAGGAGGGGGTGGCATGGACACCTCGCCTGCTGCAGGAGGCATGCTCAGTACATGAACAGTGGTACCCATGGTCACTTCCAGTTCAGCCCCACTTAGAGAAGCTGCTGTGGGAATGGCCTGGCATAGATGCCCGTCGTAGCCCCCCTCCCTGCCAGGTTGCATAGGCTCAGTCCACACTAACCATCAGTCCCAGAGGGAGCTGGATGTCTGGCTGAACTCTATCTGCTCCTGCCTCCCCGCACGGATGTGGGCCCAAACAGAACAGAGATTTCCTGGCTTCCCTGTGCCTGCGTGGCCTCTGCTTCAGCTCAGAAGCTCCTTAGCACAGGCCAGCTGTGTTCCCCTGGGTCTGTACAGCACCACTTGGTCCCCCAGCAGTTCCCCACTGTGTTTGCAGCAGTGTGGCTGCCTGCGTCTGTCCTGACATCACACAGGCCGCCCCTGTCTTGACATCACACAGCAAGAGAGCCATGCCATCATGCTTTGGGAGACTCCGAGAGGACGCCCCAGAGGGGCCCGACTTACCACTGTGCACGGCGATGACTGGACGGTGGTGCTGCGTGAAACTGCTCAGCCTCGGGGAGGAGTCCTGGGGCGACGGGCTGTTGAAAGGTGACTTGTCAATCTCTGTCTTTTTTACGGTGGGGGAGATGCCTGGGGGCCAAAAAAGCAGCAATCGTTAGGGTACCACCTGTCTTAAGGTTGAGACAAAGGGGAGGGATGTAGCTGGGTCTGAGTTGAGTGGTGCTATCGGGGGAGCATTTCACTGCATACATAGCCTGACCTCCCCCAGGTTAGGAAGGATATTCCCACACCCCCAGCCCACAGTTTTATTGACTTTTCTGGGGTGCTGCTGTCAGGGGCTGCACGTTGGCCTAGCCACGCCACCACTCTGATCCAGTAGGACAGTAATCCTGAGTGAGAAACAATTGCCCTGATGGGCTGGCAAGCCTGCTCGACAGCCTAGGGAGGGAGGGGAAGAAACCCCTTTGGTTGGGCCTAGCTGGGCTGTTCACCTCAGCCTGGGTGGGGGGCACACTAGGGTGGGGGTATGCATTGGTGTCAGGAGGGGGCGCACACATGCCAAGCAGCTAGGGGTTAATGGGAGCTCCTTGACCGGGGTGGGGAGAGGGTGTTTCAAGTGTCCGGCGCTGCACTGAGGAAGGTCCCATCCCTGCAGTGAGGCTAACCCCAGCACTGGCCGTGTCTGGAGGCAGCAAGGATAGCTGCTGCACTGAGCCCATCGAGCTGAGGAACAGGGGAGATGAATGGGGGCACTGGTGTCGGAAGATCAGCCTGGAGAATATGGGGAGGTTACTGCTGCGGCAGAGACAGCAGGGGGCACAGGAGCCCAAAGAGAGCCCTTGGGCCCACAGGCAGCAGCCACTTTGCTCTTGGCTAAGGAGGTAGAAACTGAGGGACCAAGTCACTTGCTAAGCGGGGCATGTTGGCTCTGCCAGCACTGGCCTCTGGGGATGCCTAAGTGCCAACTGGACCACTCCCAGGGCGGGCACAGCTGTGCTGTGTGCACATGACTGTGTATGGCTGGGCAGCTATGTGTACAGCTGGGTGTGCAGGTATGGGATGTGTGCACGTGTGTGTATACTCAAGTGGATGTGCAGGTGTGTGTGTAAGTGGGTGTGCACAGATGTGCATGTGTGTGCCTGGGTGTGCAGGTGTGTTTGTGATGAAGGGTTTGCTGCTCTGTGTGCAGGGGTGTGAGTGGATGCATGTATAGGTACCCACAGGTGTGCGGATGTGTATGCACGTAACCTGCAGGTGTGTGAGTGCAGGTGCACACTGGCATGCCAGCATGTGTGCGTGTGCGTCTGCGGAGGATCCGTGGGATGAAAGTCTCAATCCCCTTTCTAGTAAGGAAGCTTGTGCCCTTCACCAGCTGCTCCCAGTATACCCCTGCACAGGACAGCATTTCTAACCTGCCCCGGGTCTGCCTCCTCCTGACAAGCCCAGGGCAAGGCGAACAGGCCCAGGGCACAGCAAGTGCAGGCCCAGGCTGGATACGTTACTGGTGCCAGACTGCAGTGGGGCCACACAACTGGAACCAAGCACACCCTGGGGTGCTCCAGGGCCCAAGGAAAACCAAGCCATGTATGTTCCCCCCTGGTTTCTCTGTGGGAGTCGGGCACCTTGCCCCGGAGCCCAGCAAGGCTGCTGGGCTGTGTCTTTCTGCCCCGGTGGGACAGGGAGGTCTGGGAAGGCAGGGGCAAATGAACGGGACGGAGATGCTGTTTCTTCCCCCAGCCCTGAGCGT